GAAAGCAGCAAGGGAAAAAAAGTCCTTAACCTACAAGGGAAGACAGATCAGGTTCATAGCAGATCTCATACAGAAACTTGGCAGGCCAGAACACAGTGGCAGGATATAGTCAGTGTGCTGAATGGGAAAAATATGCGGCTGGAATACTTTATCCAGCAAGGCAGTCATTCAGAGTAGAAGGAGAGATAAAGACTTTCCCATACAAAGACTAAAGGAGTTCGTGACCACTAAACCAGCCCTGCAAGAAATATTAAAGGGGACTCTTTGAGTAGGGGGAAAAAAAAGAAAAGACCAAAAGCAACAAAGACTAGACAGGAACAGAGAACATCACCAGAAACACCAACTTTACAGGTAACACAATGGCACTAAATGCAGATCAGTAATTACTCTGAATGTAAATAGACTAAATGCTTGAATCAAAAGATGTAGAGTATCAGAATGAATAAAAAAAAAAAAACAAGACCCATCTATATGCTGGCTACGTTTTAGACCTCAAGACAACTGCAGATCAAAAGTGAAGGGATAGGGGCGCCTGGGTGGCTCAGTCGTTAAGCGTCTGCCTTCGGCTCAGGTCATGATCCCAGGGTCCTGGGATCGAGCCCCGCATCAGGCTCCCTGCTCGGCGGGAAGCCTGCTTCTCCCGCTTCCACTCCTCCTGCTTGTGTTCCCTCTCTCGCTGTGTCTCTCTCTGTCAAATAAATAAATAAAATCTTCAAAAAAAAAAAAAAAGTGAAGGGATAGAGAACCATCTATCATGCTAATGGACGTCAAAAGAAAACCAGAGTAGCCATTACATCAGACAAACTAGATTTTAAAACAAAGACGTAACAAGAGATGAAGAAGGGCATTATATCATAATTAAGGGGTCTATCCATCAAGAAGATCCAATAATTGTAAAATAGTTACCCCCCCCTCCCCCAGGGCACCTGAGTGGCTCAGTCCTTAAGCGTCTGCCTTTGGCTCAGGTCATGATCCCAGGATCCTGGGATCAAGCCCTGCATCAGGCTCCCTGCTCAGTGGGGAGTCTGCTTCTCCCTCTCCCACTCTCCCTGCTTGTGTTCCCTCTCTCGCTCTGTCATAAATAAATAAATAAATAAATATCTAAAAAAAAAATTTATGCCAACTTGGGAGCACCCAAATATATAAATCAATGAATAACAAACATAAAGAAGCTCATTGATAATAATAATATAGCAATGGACAGATCATCTAAGCAGAAGATCAACAAGGAAACAATGGCTTTGCATGACACACTGGACCAGATGGACTTAACAGATATATTCAGAATGTTTCATGCTAAAGCAGCAGAATACACATTCTTTTTGAGTGCACATGGAACATTCTCCAGAACAGATCACATACTGGGTCACAAATCAGCCCTCAACAAGTACAAAAAGATGGAAATCACACCATGCATATTTTCAGACCACAACACTATGAAACTTGAAGTGAACCACAAGAAAAAATTTGGAAAGACTACAAATACATGGAGGTTAAAGAACATCCTACTAAAGAATAAATGGGTTTACCAGGAAATTAAAGAAGAAATTAAAAAATACATGGAAGCAAATGAAAATGAAAACATGAAAGTCCAAACCTTTGGGATGCAGCAAAGGTGATCCTAACAGGGAAGTATATTGCAATACAGGCCTACCTCACAAAGAAAAAAATCTCAAATACACAACCTAACCTTACACCTAAACAAGCTAGAAAACGAACAGCAAATAAAGCCTAAAACCAGCAGAAGGGAAATAATAAAGTTAGAGCAGAAATAAATGATATTGAAACAAACCAAAAAACCAGTAGAAAAGATAATGAAACTAGGAGCTGATTCTTTGAAAGAATTAATAAAATTGAGAAACCCGAGCCAGACTTATCAAAAAGAAAAGAGAAAGGACTCAAATAAAATCAAATGAAAGACCCCACGAAAAAGGAGCATTACAGCCCAATATCCCTGATGAACATGGATGCAAAAATTCTCAACAAAATACTAGCAAATTGAATCCAACAGTACATTAAAAGAATCATGCACCATGATCAAGTGGGATTTATTCCTGGGCTGCAGGAATAAATTTATATTCATAAACCAATCAACATGATATACCACATTAATAAAAGAAAGGATAAGAACCACATGATCCTCTCAATAGATGCAGAAAAAGTATTTGACAAAATACAGCATCCATTCTTGATAAAAACTCTCAACAAAGTAGGTTTAGAGGGAACATACCTCAACATCATAAAGACCATATACAAAAAACCCACAGCTAATATCATCCTCAATGGGGAAAAACTGAGAGCTTTTCCTCTACAGTCAGGAACATGACAGGGATGTCCACTCTCATCACTGTTATTTAGCATGGTACTGGAAGTCCTAGCCTCAGCAGACAACAAAAAGAAATAAAAGGCAAGGAAGCTTCAAATCGGCAAGGAAGAAATCAAACTTTCACTATTTGCAGACAACAGGATACTCTATGTAGGAAACCTGAAAGATTCCACCAAAAAAATGCTAGAACTAATATGTGAATTCAGCAAAGTTACAGGATATAAACATCAGTGTACAGAAATCTGTTGCATTTCCATACATCAATAATGAAGAAGCAGAAAGAGAAATCAAGGAATCGATCCCATTTACAGTTGCATCAAAAACAATAAGATACCTAAGAACAAACCTAACCAAAGAGGTAAAGGATCTGTACTCTGAAAACTGTAGAATACTTATGAAAGCAACTGAAGACAACACAAAGAAATGGAAAAACATTTCCATGCTCATGGATTGGAAGAACACTATTAAAATGTCTATACTACCCAGAGCAATCTACACATTTAATGCAATCTCTATCAAAATACCAATAGCATTTTTCACAGAACTAGAAGAAACAATCCTAAAATTTGTATGGAACCACAAAGACATAAATAGCCAAAGCAATCCTGAAAAAGCAAAGCCATAGGCATCATGATTCCAGGCTTCAAGCTCTATTATAAAGCTGTCATCATCAAGACAGTATGGTACTGGCACAAATACAGACACATGGATCCATGGAACAGAACAGAGAACCCAGAAATGGACCCACAATTATATGCCAACTAATCTTCAAACAAAGCAGGGAAGAATAGCCAATGTAGAAAAGACGGTCTCTTCAACAAATGGTGCTGGGAAAACTGGACAGCTACATGCAGAAGAATGAAACTGGACCACTTTCTTGCACCATACACAAAAATAAATTCAAAATGGATGAAAGACCCAAATGTGAGACAGGAAACCATCAAAATCCTAGAGGAGAAGACAGGCAGCAACCTCTTCGACCTCGGCCGCAGCAACTTCTTACTAGACACGTCTCTGGAGGCAAGGGAAGCAAGGGCAAAAATGAACTACTAGGACTTTATCAAGAGAAAAAGCTTCCGCACAGCTAAGGAAACAGTCCACAAAACTAAAAGGCAACCTATAGTATGGGAGAAGATATCTGCAAATGACGAATCTGATAAAGGGTTAGTATTCAAAATCTATAAAGAACTTATCAAACTCAACACCCAAAAACAATCCAGTCAAGAAATGGGTAGAACACATGAATCAACATTTTTCCAAAGATGACATCCAGATGGCTAACAGACACATGAAAAGATGCTCAACATCACTCATCATCAGGGAAATGCAAATCAAAACCATGATAAGATACCACCTCACACCTGTCAGAATGGCTAAAATTAACAACACAGGAAACAACAGGTGTTGGCGAGGATGCAGAGAAAGGGGGACCCTCTTACACCTCTGGTGGAAATGCAAACTGGTGCAGCTACTCTGGAAAACAGTATGGAGGTTCCTCTAAGAGTTAAAAAATGGAGCTACCCTATGACCCAGCAATTGCACTACTAGGTATTTACCCAAAGGATAAAAAAATACTGATTCAAAGGCATACATGCACATCGATGTTTATAGCAGCATCATCAACAATAGCCAAACTATGGAAGCAGCCCAAATGTCCATCGACTGGTAAGTGGATAAAGATATGGTATGTATATATACATACATACATATATGTATACATATATACATACAATGAAGTATTACTCAGCCATCAAAAAAAATGAAATCTTGCCATTTGCAACAACGTGAATGGAGCTAGAGGGTATTATGCTAAGCGAAATCAGAGAAAGACAAATGTCGTATGATTTCACCCATATGTGGAATTTAAGAAACAAAACAGATGAACATATGGGAAGGGGGAAGAGAGTGGGAACCAAACCATAAGAGACTCTCAACTATAGAGAACAGAGGGTTGATGGGGGGATGTGGATGGGGGATGGGTTAAATGGATGATGCGCATTAAGGAGGGCACTTGTTGGGATGAGCACTGGGTGTTATATGTAAGTGATGAATCAGTAAATTCTACTCCCGAAGCCAATATTACACCATGTGTTAACTAACTAGAATTTCAATAAAAATTTGAGGAAAAAAAAAATGGGGAAAAGACCTGAATAGACATTTCACCAAGAAAGACTTATAAATGATTAATACACAAATGAGAAGATGTTCATCATCAGGGAAATGCAAAATTTTTTTGAAAGATTTTATTTATTTGACAGAGAGAGACACAGCAAGAGAGGGAACACAAGCAGGGGGGAGTGGGAGAGGGAGAAGCAGGCTTCCCGCGGAGCAGGGAGCCCGATGAGGGGCTCGATCCCAGGACCCTGGGATCATGACCTGAGCCGAAAGCAGGTGCTTAACGACTGAGCCACCCAGGCGCCCCAGGGAAATGCAAATTAAAGTCACAACTGAGATACCATTTTATACCCTACAGTTAAAACGACCATACCAAACCTTGGCAAGGATATAGAGTGACTAGAACTCTCATAATCGACGTTGGGAAATGTAAAATGGTGCAGCCACTTTGGGAAACAATTTGTCAGTTTCTCAAAAAATTAAACATACACTTCCCATCCATCCAACCGACTACTAGATATTTGCCCAAGAGAAATGAAACATGTGTTCACATAAATACCTTTATGTGGAAGTTCATAGCGGCATTATTCACTCATAGGCAGAATTCAAAATTGGAAGCATTCCAAATGTCCACCTCCTGGTCAATGTATAATATGGTATATTCATATAATCAAACATTACTCATAAATAAAAAGGAAAGAACTACTTATACATTTAACAACAGGAATGCACCTCAAAAATACTTTGCTAAGTAAAAGAAGCCAGACTCAAAAAAGTGGGCAAGTGTGTGTGTAGTAGGATTCAGTTCACATAAAAATTCCTAGAAATGTAAATCTGTAGAGACAGAAAGCACATAGATCAGTGGGGGCCTTGGTTTAGGGATGGGGATGGACTGCAACCTGGCATGAGGGAAATTCTTGGTGTGAATGGAAGTGTTCTAACTGGTTTGTGGGATGACTATGCAAATTTGCTCAGCATTATGGAACTGTCCACTTACAATATGAATTGTATGGGATGTAAATTATAACTTCAATAAAGCTTTAAACATTTTTTTTAAAAAAATTTCAAAACTGCCCTGGGGTCATGCAAGTGAATGTCCTCATTATAAAGAGATTCACACTTAAGTTTTTAAGGGTAAAGAGTCAGAACGTTGGGATGCCTGGGTGGCTCAGTCGGTTAAGCATCTGCCTTCAGCTCAGGTCATGATCCCAGGGTCCTGGAATAGAGCCCCACATTGGGCTCCTTGCTCAGTAGGGAGTCTGCTTCTCCCTGTGCCTGCCGCTCCCACTGTTTGTGCTCTCTGACAAATAAATAAAAATCTAAAAAAAAAAAAAAAGAATGTCTGCAACTTACTATCAAATGGTTAAAAAACCAATAATCTGGAGATTGAGAGAGAAAAACAAAGGAAATGGGGCAAAAAGTAAAAAATTGGTGAACGTGGATGAAGGTGATAATGGATTTTTCTGAGCTATTCTTGCAATTTTTCTGTAGGTTTGAAATACTCCTCTTAGAAAGTTAAAAAAATTGAAAATCACTGAAAATTTTGCATGGGAGCTTTTTGTATGACACAATTTCTCCACCTATGAAATCAGGGAATTCAGGACATCAGTCTGTGCTCAATGTCCACCTCACCCTGTGTTATTTACTGGGACCCGAAGAGATAGAACAGGTAAGGGTAGATTTTAGAAAGCTGCTTTGATAAAAACATTCTATGAAAGCTCTTGCACGTTCCCAGATGGGGCTATCAAATCTGGGCAGCTTGGGTGAAAAACAGGAATCCTACCTGCTAGACCAGGGTTGGCAAACTGTGGTCTCTGAGCCAAGCCCAGCCTGCCACCTGTTTTTGTACGGTCTGTGAGCTAAGAAAGCTTTCCCATTTTAGAGCGATTGGAAAAAAAAAAAAAAGTCAAAAGATTTTGGGACACGTGAAAATGTTGTGAATTTCAAATTTTAGTGTCTGTAACTAAAGTTTGAGTGGAACACAGCTATGCTGTGTTTGTTTGTTTCCAAATTGTCTAGGACTGCTTTCCCGCTACCACGGGGTAGTTGAGTAGTTGTGACCGAGACCACACACGGCCCAGAAAGCCTAAAGTAGTTACTACCTAGCCTTTTGTAGAAAAAGCTTGCAGACTCCTACGGTAGACTACGTGAAACATATAGTTTCTTTAGATCAGTGGCTCTCGGCTGGGGTCAGTTTTGTCCCCCAGGGGCCATTTGGCGACGCCTAAAGCCTTTTTTGGTTGTCACAACTGGAAGGGATGCTACTTCATCCACTGGGAGGCCAGGAATGCTGACAAACATCCTACAATGCACAGGTCAGCCCCACAACAAAGAGAAGAATGATCCAGACCCAAATGTCAGTAGTACTAACGTTAAAGATCCTGGTCCGGAGAGCAGAGACGATGACATGTTTAAGGCTGGATACCATGGCCTCGCCCTGAATAAACTACTTTACTCCTACCCTTGACTCCACCTCTATGTCCAGCCTCTCTATCCCTACCCTACACGTCACTATAGCTTGACTCCCTGCAAGTTATGTTTCCCGTAGGCCGTGCACTCGGCCCTCACAATTCTTCATCAACCTCCTTAACCTCCCATCCTTGCTGCCATGCTCTGCAGTCCTCTGTGATCTCATCTAATTCCACACAGCATCACCCTTATATGCCTCGACTGGTCAGGCTGTGTCAGTTCGGGCCCGCCCTCCCCTCCCCTGGCTACCTGGCTGGCTAGCTCTCCTGCTTCTCCGTCATTCCCCAGGCCCAGGCCAGGAGGGTCTCCGTGGCAAGCCCATTCCCAGGGCTGGGAAGGTCGGAAGCTGCACCTCACACCATCTTGACGGACCCACTCCCAGTTTTTGTCCTGGAGGACACTGCTTGGGGCAGAGCGGGAGTTAGGGGTAAGTATTCAGGAATCTGTCCACTTCCGTTATTGCCTTCCCCCCAAAACACTGGGGCTGAAAGTTCAATGGGGGATTGCATCGTTGAGAGAGTGATCGTGCCACACAATGGCCTAGCTATTAGGTCCGGCTTTAGGGCTACAGTCACCCATATGAATCTATGAATCCTACCTCAGATGCTTGTGATATGGGGACACTTGAACACCTTATTCCTAGGCCCTTTTGTGACCCCATTTACTAATTTTTAAGCAGGCAAGGGTGATCACACACACGATGTGGGATGGCTGTGAGGATTATAAATACCAAGGATTATCAGGTCACCGATAATATCACTGGGGCACCAATAATATTAGTCAGTTGAACGTCTAACCCTTGATCTCAGCTCGGGTTTTGATCTCATGGTTGTGAGTTCAAGCCCCATGTGGGGCTTCGCACTTTACTTAAAAAATAAATACTAAGGATTATTATTACTGCAGTATGGTAATAGGCAGAGCATTCAGAACTAGGCTGTAAGCACCCTGAGGAGCTTGTGGGGGTTTCTAGGGAGAGAATGGGGCATTCTGATTGGGGGGATGGGGATAGGCATGTGGTAACAGAACTACTACTACTAATGGCAGCCAACGCTCACACAGCCTCTGCTATGTTTCATGATAGGCCCTGTGCTAGGGGCTTCCTACCAAGAGGTCTGTTGAATCCTCCCAAAGGCCCATGAGGTAAATATCCCTACCTTGCATGTCTAATGTTTTAGTCACTGGAGCCATCTCCCAGCTTTCGGAACCCAAGAAGTAAAAGCTCCGAATGGAAAAAAGCAACCTGAACGACCCAGGTGCACGGGGAAGCCAGCCTCACCCACGAAGACCAGGTGGCTCCAGCTGTCCAGCGTCAGGCTCCTGAGAAAGCGCCAGCTTCCTCCAGCCGGAGGGACATCCACAGCCCCATCCTCAGACGGCACAGCTTGTAACCACACATTCCTGTCCACTCTGGTGAGCAACACTGGGCAATGTGGAAGACCCAGGTGGGGACTGCTCATTGCTTTCCTAGGCGCAGTGCTCTGGGCCGGGGGTGGAGTTACGTAGGGTTCCTACCCTAGAACAAGTTTGTGTTACACCTTGGGGAGAAACAGAAATCAGAGAGGAAATGACACCTCCAGATAGGAGGCACGGAGGAGGACACAGCCTCACTTCTGTGACTTTCCTGCCAGAGGTACAAGATCTGAATCTAATCAGGAGAAAACATCACACAGATCCACACAGAGGGCCACTCTAAAAGCAGGTAAAAGCTTCAAGAGGGTCGAGGTCACACAATCGCGTATATTACTTTGCCTGGGCCGCCATAATGAGGTACCACAGGCTGAGTGGCTTCAGAGCCATTTATTTCCTCACAGTTCCAGCGGCCAGAAGTCCAAGATGAAGAGGCCTCGCTCCTTGGCTTGCAGATGGCCGCCTTCTCCCTGTGTCTTCACATGGTCTTCCCTCTGTGTGCAGCTGCGTCCTAACTTCCTCTTCTGAGGAGGACACCAGTCAGATTGGATTAGGGCCCACCCATGCGAACTTATATTTCATCTTAATTACCTCTTTAAAGACATCATCTGCAAATACAGTCACATTCTGAGGTACTGGGGGTTAGGACTCCAACATATGAACTTGGCAGGGCGGGGAGGGGATGGGTGGAAACAATTCAGCCCATAACATCAAGGACAGATTTGAGAAACTGTTCCAAATGAAAGGAAACCAAAGAGACAGGACAACCAATCTAATGTGTGGTCCTAAATTGGATCCTGGACCAGAACTGGTGAAAACAAATGCGATCTAGGGGTGATGTAACACAGCTGTCTCAATGTTAAATTTCCTGATTTTTATAACTACTGCCTTGTGCTGGTGGTTGTTATGGACTGAATGTTTGTGTCCCTCCTCAAATTCGTATATTGAAGCCCTCACACTCCGTGTGGCTGTATTTGGAGAGGAGGTCTCTGAAGAAGTAATTAAGGTTAAATGAGGTCGTGAGGGAAGGGCCCTGGCTGGTAGGATTAGTGTCCTTATAAGACAAGACATTAGAGACCTTGCTCACGCATGCGTGCTCCCCCACCCCCATGCACTGAGGGAAGGCCACGTTGAGGACACAATAAGATGGTTATCTACACATCAGGGAAGAGAGCCCTCATCAGGAACTGAATCAGCTAGAACCTTAACCTTGCACTTCTAGCCTCCAGAACGGTGAGAAAATAAATTTCTGTTGCTTAAGCCACCCAGCCTGTGGTATTCGGTTATGGAGGCCTGAGCTAAGACAGTGGTTATGTAGGAGAACATACTTGGCCTTAGGAAAGGCACACTGAGACATTTAGAAGCACGGAGGCATCGTGTTTGCAACTTACTCTCAAATGGTTTGGGAAAAATATGTACATAATTTTATATATATATAAAAATATATAAATGTGTATAGAGAGAGAGGAAGGGACGGGGAGAGGGAAGAAAGAATCTTAAGGCAAATGTGCCAAAATATTAACAGTTGTTGTATCGGGTTGAACGGCATATAGGAATTCCCTGTATTGTTTATGGAAATCATCTCTAAGTTTGAAATTATTTGTAAATAAAAGGAAAATTAACTGGTTAGTTCCTTTGGGGTATGGGATCCTTAGGAATTAGAGTGGTATTTTTGAGCAATATTTAGGGAATCTTTCCAATCCGGCTAGGCTCTCTTTATTGAAGACGATCCCCTTACTTGCACATGATATTGGTCCTTGTTCCTACACTTTGAGTGACCCATCTTATTTCACACTCTCTGCAGTCCTGTGTCTATAAGACAGGCAGCTTAGCATCATTCTAAAGATGAAGCTGTTGCGGCTGAGTGGGTCGCCTGGGTCATCTTCATTAACCATCCCAGCCTGCTAGGAGGGCTACTGCCCCGAAATTCATCCGGGGCACTACGAAGCATTTCCCTGCTCCCTACAGGCCTATTGAGACATCTCTCTTTGTGTGAGACTGCACACAGGTCCCAGACTATGCCCACCCAGAACATGACAATGACTCAGGACACTTCCTCTTACCACCTCCTCCCTCCGGCTCACCCAAACAAAAAGGCCATCACCCTGACCCTAGACCCCACCGATCCCACTTTGTCTCCTTTCCACAGGAAGGCAGAGCCCAACGTCTTCCACACCCTGGCAGAGCCAGCTGGGGAGATGGGACATGCTCAGGACTCCTCTGGAAGAGCCCAGCTCCCACCGCAGCCCCCCCCCCCGCCCCCGCCGCAGCCTTCCACCTGGCCTCCAGGTCACGGTCAAGCCTCTCTCTGCTGCTGAGCTTGGAGGAGCACCCTCTTCCGCTCCCTTCACTCAGAGGGCCTCTTGGGGTCCATTCCCTGAGGGGTCATCCAGCCCTGCCCCCCCCCAGCCTGGGAAACCTCTGCCCACACCCTCTTGCTGCACGCCCCCCACCAGCCCTTCCTGTGCCCCACCACCGTTCCTGCCCATCTGCAACCGTTTCTGCAGCCACTCTGCCCAGCACCGAAGAGACTTAAATTGGGGGCGGAGGCTCTTGTGGGCTCCTCTGACCTCTGGCTGGGTGAACCACACTGGCACAGAGAATGGATGGCAGTCTCTGTTCGGCAAAAGCTGCAGTGACTCCTACTTGGTGTAACAGCCTCAGGCAGAAATTTCCATTTTCCAGCTGAGACCCAGATGCAGGAAATGCTGTCACTCTGGCCTGTCCCACATCAAGATGCCAGGGGTAGGTGAGGGAGAGCAGGCAATGAAAGACTCTGACCCGGTCAAAGGGAAAGCGGAGCTCGCTGTTCAGGACATGGGTCTATATAGAGCAGGAGACAAAACAGGTGAACAGATGAAAGGCTTCTACTTGTGTAGAAAAAAAATCTTGCCCTTGGGGCGCCTGGGTGGCTCAGTCGGTTAAGCCTTGGGCTCAGGTCGATCCCAGGGTTCTGGGATCGAACCCCGCATTGGGCTCCCTGCTCAGCAGGGAGTCTGCTTCTCTTTCTCTCTCTCCCTCTGCCCCTCCCTCCCGACCCTGCTCGCTCTCTCTCGCTCTCAAATAAATAAAATCTTTTTTAAAAATCTTGCTCTTTTTCTTTTTGCTTTTTTGTATGAGTGGGGTAGACATTATTGGGCCCCTTTATGGGCTCCTGCACTGCCCGCCCCCACTACGGCTAATGTTGGCTGTAAAGGGAATATTTGGTACTGATGGCATGCCCCTGGTTTCTGCCTCTGTCAAGCCTATATTACACGAGAAGCATTATTTGGGGTATAAACATTTAAAATAAAATAACTTCTCCATACATTCAACCCAAGTAACCATTGCCCTCTAGAACAAACAGAATACAATTTGAGATTTAAATTTGTAAAGAGTATTCGGTTTCTTTTTTTGCAGTCCATCTGTGACGGAATTTGTCTCCTCACACCCTAGGTCCTTCAGGGAGTCGCTTAGGAAGAATTCCTTGGTGCGGAGGGGCAGCTGAACCAGGGGTCCTGACTCTCTCTTGAAATGTACCTTCCCCCACTGGGGTTCTCCCGTTTTGATAATCTCTGCCCCAACCAAAAAAAAAATTTTTTTTGGAATAAATGAGGGCAGAAGAATCTGGTTAACTTTGAACCTGCCCCCATTTCCATGCCACCGAATCGGCTGGAGATTAGCATATCTCACAGGTATGCACAACTCACAAGCAAACAGAACTCAGCGTGGCCACCCCAATGCCTGATAGCAAAAGACCACAAAAGCAAAACCAAACAAGTGGGACATCACACTAAAATGCTTCCGCACAGCAAAAGAAACCATCAATAAAATGGAAAGGCAACCTATTGAAGGGGAGAAAATATGTGCAACTCATATGTTTGATAAGGGGTTAATATCCAAAATACATAAAGAATTCATATTTGAAAGTTGCTAACAGAGTAGATCTTCAAAGTTTTCATCACAAGAATTTTTTGCAGCTGTGGATGGTAACGGATGTTAACTAGACTTATTGGGACCATTTCCCAATGTAGGCAAAGGTCAAATCACTATGCGGTACACCTGCGACTGATATAATGTGATGTCAGTTAAACCTCAAGTAAGAAAAAAGGTCAATCCGTAGTAGAATGGATGAAGGTCCCGTGGTACATCTATAGAATGGAATACTCTAATGGAATGGAAATGAACTACAGGTAGATGCAACAATGTGGGTGAATCTCATAAAGATCTCTCTCAGAGGGGGAGACGAACCATGAGAGACGATGGACTCTGAAAAACAAACTGAGGGTTTTAGAGGGGAGGGGGTTGGGAGGATGGGTTAGCCTGGTGATGGGTATTAAAGAGGGCACGTACTGAATGGAGCACTGGGTGTTATATGCAAACAGTGAATCATGGAACACTACATCAAAAACTAATGATGTAAGGTATGGTGATTAACATAACAATAAAAAAATTAATAATAAAAAAAAGATATCTCATAAAGATAAAGCCAGATAAAAATGCTGGCTGGAAGGCTGACTTAAAAAGAGCACATACCACATGATACCATTTAAAGTTCAAGCACAGACACAACTAAGCTAGCCTGAGAGAACTCAGGATAGTGGTTACCTTTGAGGGGGTGTGGTCACTGGTGGTAGACAGGAGGCAAATTCTGGAATGCTGGTGAGAACGGGGCAGCACTGGAGGCCAGGGAGCTGGCATGACACAGCTGGGCCTTGGTGTTCACCTGCTGAACTGGAATAATCTCACAGAAGAAAAACAGACCAAATCACTCTATGACAGTGATGGATCAAGACAAAACCTCTCATCATGGCTGACTACAAACAAAGACATAAACCTTGTCCAAACCACAAAAAATGATCAAACACCCCCCTTTGTCCACTCATATCAGTGACCCGTGCTTCTCTACCAATTAGTTTTAGTCTCTCTTCATTCCGTCCACCATATAGGTTTCCAATACCCTTGCTTCCTGCCAGCACCCAATCTAGATCCACATTGGCTTCTCCAATCCTCCCCACAAATCACCTACCAGAGGCCCGCATCCTCCAAGTCTTTTATAACACCCCCTTACTGAGACACCACACTGTGTGCATTCTCCCTCGCTGCACTGGGTAATAAATCCAACATGCTCAACCACACTTGGGTTCCTGGTGGTCTTTGGCTAGAGGGCTTTGACACAGGATAGGTTCTGTTTCTTGAAATGCATAATGGTTAGGTGGATTTTTTTTTTTTTTTTGCGAAATTCTTCATGCTATGCAATTATTTATGCCCTTGTATATATCTACTTGCAAGACCGACTGCACAACAGATGCTTATGGCAAGTTATCCACTGTATTAAAGCTTCCCAATTAAAAAAAAATAACGTAACGAATCCCACACCACTGAGTATTCATAGAACAAAACTTTGGCTTTTTTTTTTTTTTTAAAGATTTTATTTATTTGACAGAGAGAGGCACAGTGAGAATGAGAGAGAGAGAGAGAAGAGGGAGAGAGAAAAAAACACAAGCAAGGGGAGCCCGATGTGGGGCTTGATCCCAGGATTCTGGGATCATGACCTGAGCTGAAGGCAGACGCATAACGACTGAGCCACCCGGGTGCCCCAGAACTTTTTTGAACTCCTGTTATATAGCTGGGGTTTTCCTGGGTGTTTGGGGGCACAGAAATGCAGAATACACATTTCCTGTCCTCAAGGGGTTTATAGCCAGTGAGTAAGGAACAGGCGTGGCTAGGTAGGGAGAGACAGGGAGGGGGCTAGTAACCAGGTTCACAGAAATCCCAGATGTGGAGAAATGTTATAGACAAGATATTAACCAGAGAGAAAAGAGCATAACAAATCCACCTTGCTATTTTCGGAATATTTACAAATCCACCTTGTTTGTCTTAAATGTTATAAACAAGATAGTTACCAAGTTCTCTGGTCTGTTTTCTATAAAAGAGGACCATAAAAGCCCTCAGTGGCAACCCATTCGGGACCCCTCTCACTCTAGAGAGCTTTTTTTCTTTCATTTCTGTTCTCACCTTCACTTAATAAGCTTTCACTTCACTTCACTCTTTTGTCCGCGAGATTCATTCTTGGACTCCGTGAGACAAGAACCCCGCAACCCTGCAACACCAGGGAACCTCGACACTTACATGCTGCGAAGCTGTGGAAGAGCGGTTTTGAAAGGTGCATCGTGTCCCTCAGGCTGATTGGGAAAAGGCATTTCCAGGTGGTCACATCAGGAGGGACAGGGCACAGGTGTTGGATAAACGTGGTAGGTAACTGCAAACACCTGGGAATGAAGAGTCTGCAACGGAGGATTTAAGGTAATAATAGATGTTTAGTTTCCGTCTCAAAACCAAAACACCACTGAAAAGACTCTATAGACCCCTCAAATTTGATTAAGATAAAATTAAGATGAAAATAAACAGAATCAGGAATGAGAAAGGAAACAATTAAATCTAGAGATTTTTAAAGTATGAGAACACAAGGTGAATTTTTCAATTAAATGTGGTGGACTGACCACAAGCATCTAAATTCGTTTTTTCCTAAGACACAAAATTAACTGTAAACAAATGCTCTTTTTAATGTATAAACTCACCATGTGGACAAAGGGAACAGATGTCATGAAAGCACAACAGATTTCCGGAAGGCAGCACGGTGGGCGCAGACCCAGCTGAGACCAGTGAAAATCCAGCCCAGACGCCTAGCGGAATCCCTGAGGGGCAAAGGACCTGACAGCCACCAGGTCCCTAGGAAGGCAGGGGTAGGAGGTGACTTTTTTTAGAGGGGGACTGACTTCTGACTTGACCCCAGATCCCCACCCCAAGTGTGTTGACAAGAGTTGGGGCAAGTCCAAAATCAAGAAAAACAAAGTTAATGGAATAATTGATAGTGTTAGGGGGAGTGCTTAGTGCATCCATTTTCTGGGTCCAGGACAGGTCAGAAAATGAAATAACACAGGTAAATGTTGGAGGTCCATACAGTGCTCTATGGTGGGTCTGAGTTGGGCCTGGGAGGGGCCGATGTATATGGCCTTACTGTATCATGGGAGTACCACCAGGTCTGGCTGACCTTGTAATTCATGCGGCTCTTGTTCTTGTGCAGTCCCCACAGCCAGGCCACCCCCTTCACAGCCGCAGGAAGAATTGCCACAGTGTCAAGACAAGTCCATCCTTTGGGAGAGCACTCCACCATCCCAAGAGTGCAAGCAAGAGGCCGTGACATAGGAGGGGAAAGAGCTCAGCAGAGGCCCAGCACCTGGAAGACTGTGTCATGCATCGCCCTCCTTGGACTGATAAAATGGGGATAATAATAGTACTCACTTGGTACCTTTTTAGCAGATTAAAAAAAAAACTGAAGAAAGTAAAGCACTTAGCACAGTGGTAGCATCTAAGGGCTGAATGTTAACTGTAGATATTATTTCTGTTAGCACCTGCCTACATGCCCTGAATCGGGATGCCCCTTTCTTGCCTTAGAAAACCCACCATTCCGTTTTAGTACGCTCACAGCCTAGCTTGGAACGCTCTGCACCAGTCACGAGGTAGCTACAGCTACCATCTTCTGATGCACGGATAGGAAAAGAAAACAACAAAGTAGCCAAGTTTACACAAACCACAAACTTCAGCGACTCGGTCCGTCCACAGCTCGAACTCAAAGGCTAGGTAAAGCCGCAACCACCGCGCAAGTAGGCGCAGCTCCGGCCCCGAAAGACACGCCCACAGGAAGCCCCCAACCCGTTTGGTGGGTTGCGAGAAACCGTCGTGCGCAGGGCGTGTGGGGCCTGTGCGGAGCCTATGAAGGCCCCACCCCCGTGAGAATGCCCCTGGACTTCCCGCCCCTTACGTGACGCCCCGCCCTCCACGTAGAATTCTCTGAACGAAGCTTCCTCCACAGACACCTCCCCTACACGCCCCGCCCTCCATGTAGAAAGTCCTGCACGCCCCGCCCCCCTACGGAATACCCCGCATGTCCCGCCCACCACGCAGAATGCGCCTATGCCCCGCCCATCACGTTAGACCACCCCACTCGCCCCGCCCTCACGTAGAACGCCCCCACACCCCACCCTTCACGTACAACTCACAGGTCCTGCCCACCACATAGAGCGCGCCACTCGCCCCGCCCACACGTACAACGCCTTCACACGCCCTGCCCACTACGTTAGACCGCCCCACACGCCCCGCCTTCCACGTAAAAATGCCCCGCTCGCCCCGCCCTCATGTAACTGCTCCGCCCCCACCCCGCCCTCCACGTAGAACCACCCACATGTCCCGCCCACCACGTTAACCGCCGCGTTTGCCCCGTCCTCACGTAGAACGCCCTCCACAGCCCGCCCCCACGTAGACCCACATGTCCCGCCCAACACGTAGAGCGGGCCATTCGCCCCGCCCACCACGTCGAACGACTTCGCAGCCCCACGCACTACGTTGATCGCCCCTACGCCCCACCCTCCACGTAGAACGTCCCCCTGGCCCCGCCCCTTCGTATAACACCCCCGCTCGCTCCGCCCACACGTAGAACGCCCCCTCCCCTACGTAGAACCACCCACATGTCCCGCCCACCACGTAGAGCGGGCCATTCGCCCCGTCCACCACGTAGAGCGGGCCAGTAGCCCCACCCACACGCAGAACGACTTCGCAGCCCCGCCCACTACGTTAGGCCGCCCCACGCCCCGCTCGCTCCGCCCGCACGTAGAACTCCCCCACCACACACACACCCCGTCTCCAAAGTAGAACCACCCACACGCCCCTCCCACCACGTTGACCGTCCCGCCCTTCACGTAGAACGTCATGCTCGCTCCGCCCACAACGTAGACCGCCCCACACACCCCTCCCTTCACGTACAACGCCCCACCGGTTTCGCCCACCGTGTAGATCTCCGCGCAGGCCCCGCCCTCCACGTAGAAAGACCGGCCAAGTTGTAGCCTTCTTAGTCCCGAGAATAGACTCGCACCTGAGACTCCCACTGCTCCAGTACCCCAGCACTGCCTTTACCGTGTGGATGGGGCGAACCTGAGTGGAACCAAACTGGCCAATGGGGAGAGGAGCAGGGCCGTGCTTTATAGACTTGGACGGGATGGCGGAGGACTCTAGATTAGTGTTCGAGTAGGGCTAGGACCAATGGCGACTGTGAGAGCTGTGTGCGGATCCTATGGGCTCGGAGCGTGCCTGGCAGCGGGGCGGGATTCAGTGAATTTCAAATAGAGAAGGCGGGACGCACAGGTGGACTCCAAGGCAGGAGTGAAGCTGGAGTATGTGCGGGATGGGGACGTGGGTGCACCCCTATGTATGTAATGGCAGGGACATCTTAACAGTTGTTGGAAGTCCCCAGTAATAGATGAAAATAGCAAAGTGGCTCTGGGGTCATTGATAAGAAAGCAGTAGTAACGGGAAGATCGTGTCTTTTTGGAATTTTACAGCTCCTGTATGACTGGGAGAAACAATATTTCCTGTTAACTTTGCACTTGTCTTTACCTGTGCCCGTCACCCCAGCCCAATTAATAGCAAGGCTGCCTTTTTCTTTCTCACTCTGAGCTGATTTTCACTCTTTCTATCCCAGAGAGGTTTTCACTCTTTTACTCTCCCTTTTAGCCAAGGGCAGGTGAGGTCAACCATGGAACATTATTCTGTGAAATTCAGATCTTAACCATTGTCTGGCTTCCACTCATCTAATGATGGTTTGGAGAACGCAGTTTGTGGTTGGATAAGTGTACATTCTTCACATTGCTTCAACAGCAGCTTAGTGTTGAATCATCACACAGGACAGTGGCTGCATACCAGTATTCAAGACTCCGGAGGTCCCACATTTGAACACTGTAATAGAGACAAATGCTGGAAGAATGATGATAGAATGTGTAGTCCACTTGTAAGTCAGGAACCAAGTTTACCCAAGTTAAACGAAAAGAGCAGATCCCATTTCTAATCTGAAAAGCATGCAGATATCAGATGTTGGTGCACTAGCAAAAATACCAAATATATTGATTTGCTTGTTTCTCTGATATTTTTAGTAATGTTAAAGATCCCAGTGAGTCTATGGGAATGTAGGTACAACATTCCTCCACCCTGATGATGTGGTTTGGAGTTGTGGGGTCCGGAGCCGATGACCAAGAAGGAATTCTTGAGGCCTCCTTGGTGCACAAAGTGGTTATATTAAAGCATGCGGACAGGAGCCATGGGCAGAAAGAGCTGCACTGGGGTTGTGAGGATTGACTGATTATATAAGATTTTCTATCCTATGGAGAGGAGGGTGATGATAGGGCTCCAGGAAATTGAGTCTATAGGTTTCTGGAGATTGCTTTTTTTTCCTTGTAAATCATTAAGACAGTTGCAAACTGATGGAGACTCTTGTCCTGCATGACTGTGATCTCCATCAGTTAACCATTTGGTTTTCTCTTTCCTTTGTTCTCAGGCAGCCAGGAGTGCCTGAGGAATGTCACACACATCCCACCTTGGGTGGGAGGGAGGAGGGGGGTGTTAGCTTGTGCTTTGCCCTCAGCTTGCCTTCTGCTCCTCATCACAAACAAATGGAACGATATTCCATGCTCACGGATTGGAAGAACAAATATTGTTGAAATGTCTATACTACACAAAGCAATCTACAGATTTAATGTAATCCCCAGCAAAATACCAACAGCCTTTTTCACAGAACTATCACCAATAATACTAAAATTTATAGGATATTTACATTTAATGTAATTATTAATATTTGGATTTATGTCTTATAATTTATTACTTTTCTTTTCTAATTAAAGATTTTATTTATTTATTTATTTATTTATTTATTTATTTAAGAGAGAGAGAGAGGGCACGCAGAGTGAGAGTGAGAGAGCACAAGCAAGGCCAGGGGCAGAGGGAGAAGCAGACTCCCCACTGAGCGGGGAGCCCGACATAGGGCTCAATCCCAGGACCCTGGGATCATGACCTGAGCAGAAGGCAGACGCTTAACCGCTGAGCCACGCAGGCACCTATTATTACTTTCCTGATTGTTTCCTCTGTTTTTTTCTCTCTTTCTCCTGCCTTCTTTTCAATTATTTAAATATTTTCAGCATTATTTTGTCTAAATACATTTTTTACTATATCCCTTTTAATATATATTTTTAGTAGTATCTCTATGATTTAAATATATATTAACTTTTCAGGGACTGATTAGAATTCATATTTTAAAATTTCATGTGAGGGACACCTGGGTGGCTCCGTTGGTTAAGCATCTGCCTTCGGCTCAGGTCATGATCCCAGGGTCCTGGGATCGAGCCCCGCGTCGGGCTCCCTGCTCAGCAGGGAGCCTGCTTCTCCCTCTCCCTCTGCCTGCCGCTCTCTGTGCTTGTGCTCTCTCTCTCTCTGGCATATAAATAAATAAAATCTTTAAAAAAATAATAAAACTTCATGTGGAATGTAGAAAGCTTTCCCCTTTGTATTATTATCGCTCCATGTTTTACATCCATGTGTCACGTATCAATTTGTTGCCTCTCAGCTGTGAACACACTCTTCAATATATATTTCATGATCAACAGCCAACTTCCTTCAAGCATTTCTCCTTTGAAGTGAGCGTAATGTTAAGATTTCTCAGTAGAGGGCACTCACTCACACGCCAGGAGGATGGTGCTTCCGACAATTTCTGGTGTAGGGGAAAGAAGGAGTCTTCCCTGTGGGGTTTGAGGACATCCAGTGGAACCTGCCCGAGTCTCAGGTCCAGAACACCATCTCTCTGTGACCTTGCAGCCTCAGCCTGGCAAAAACCTGCTCATAGCCCTCTCAGCACAGATCTCCTGCTCTGCAACCCCCCACCGCACGTTCCTTGGCCATGCAAAACCCACCTGCTGTACAAGGGACCAGGAAGAGTCGTTCATAATGCCTGTGCTCTGAAGGCCTTTTGCCCCTGCTGGCGCCTGATGTGCTCTGGGCCAGGAGTGGCCATCAAGAAAGAAATCCTTGAGACATTTTCAGTGCAAAAAGGTGTTTTTATTAAAGCATGGGGGACAGGACGGTGGGTAGGAAGAGCTGCACTGGGATTGTGAGGAGCAATCAACTAGATACTTTTAAGTTGGGGGGGATGTAGAGATCAAGGAAGTTTCCAAAAGGACTTTTGTATGTTAAAGAAGACTTACTGGATTCTGGAGGTCTGGATATCGTCAAGCTAAGGTTGCTCTTTGCCTGTAGCAAAGCATTAACATGAAGACAGTTGTGACCTTCTTGACGATTGTCATACTCTGCCTGATTGTCATACTCTGCCTGTCTTGGGTATTTATCAAGGGGCTACAAATTGTAAGGAAATTTAATTTTATCTCATTTCTTTTGCTTTGTTCTCCTCCTCAGCACCCAGATTCCCACTGCATGTCCACACTGTCAGCTGCTGATCACTTACCTCTGCCTCCACTCCAAAGAGTTGCCTGTTTGAAACTTCAGACCAGCGCAAGTCTGGCCAAAGCAGCCAACTTTTCTGCTCTCCTGGTGGTAGACACACAACTTCTCCAACAAGGTCTGAACTCCTTCCAAGTTTGTCCTGGATTGGTGTTTTAGTCAGTTCAGTTTTTTTTTTTTTTAATTTATTTATGTAATCTTTACACCCCACGTGGGGTTTGAACTCACAACCCTGAGATC